AGACCTGGTCAGCATGGTGATTGAGGACTCCCAGCCATTTAGCATTGTGGAGGACAAAGGATTCAAAAGATTTGTTAAATCATTAAATCCTAGCTATGTTCTCCCCACTAAAAAGGTCATAAAAGCAGTGAAAATGTAGTTTTTACAGAATAAAATGTGAACAGGCAGGACTGAGGCTCAGTGTGTAGCTGTCCATACCTCAACGTTACAAAAGCACAACTACTGTCCACACCCCAACCACACCTCACCTCACAGTAAATGATCATTTCCATTTCAAGCATTTCCAAATAATCATTTCCCATACTGCCACTATAAATATACACAGTATACTGCCATCACTACAATATACATGTTTTACACACTCCTTTTGTTGTTGACATTTACAGGCTGTGTGCAAAATGCCACACTCTTCAAATTCATGCCAGCTATTATTTTTACGTCCAGTAGGTGTCCTGCTAGAGCAAATGAAGCTTCATGAAGCTTCGCGTTGGGGTGAACCAATTGGATGAAAAGCTTCAGTGCTTCATGGGGCTTCATCTGCCCATCACTACCTTTAACTCTCTCATACTGCACCGAACAGCCAAAACATCGCGTCACGTCCGTTTTTTTCTTCTTCTATTGCTTTTCTGGCAGATTGGACTGAAAGGCGTACTAGCGCCCCCTAATGATTCACATTGAGCACTGACTTAAAGGAATAGTGAATGACAGAGATCTCAAACTCATTTTACGTCGTCAATCACATAAACCAAATTTTAATCTTGAGTGGGCCAGACCAGTGAAACTCTGCTTTCTATCGATTTAAGTACACACTTCAGTATCAGTTTGAAATAAAATCAAACAAGCTGAGCTGAACATGATCCCCTCTTTAGCAGAAACTAAAATTAGAGCAACTGAAACAAGAGCATTTTACACATGCTGACGGAGCTGCAGACGAGTAAGGACAAAAAGTATCCGCAGGAAGTCCTTTTTTACCATTTTATTAGCTTTTTACGTCTTGATGCATTCTCAAACATCCACTTAGGTAAATCTTCAAAGGTTGATTTTGTTCATCTGGACGTATCGTTTTCAGTGGGAGAAACGTTTCGTCGCTCATCCAAGTGACTTCTTCAGTCTCAGCTGACTGCAGGTTTTCCTAATCTTATAAACAGTACATTTGCATAATGACTGGATCCGCTGTAGGAACAACGGACTGGGAGGTCAGTTCCTTCATCATGATTATGCAAATTCTCATGACCATTGATCACCAACCCTTGATCAAAGCCCACTGATTAATGGCCATGAGTACCATTCACAGAGAGTTGGGGAATGGCTGCAATCACAGCATTGCAAGATGGCGAAAGATGTACCCTCAGGCCCCCTCCTCGATTCAGAGATGGTCAAAAGGGAAAGACTTTTCATTTAAGTGAAAATCTTTAGGGAGAAACTTTGTGAGCATTGCAAAATGTTGCTGCACTTGTTATCAGAGTGCATAATCCATTCTCACACTCAGCTGCTGTTGACAAAGATACTCAGCAGACTGAGGAGAAAGGTTGTAACAGGGAATACTGGATTCAATTCGATTCAATTCAATTCAATTTCATTTATATAGCGCCAAATTACAACAAAAGTCACCTCAAGGCGCTTTATATTGTACAGTAGATACAGAGAAAAACCCAACAATCATATGACCCCTATGAGCAAGCACTTTTGCGACAGTGGGAAGGAAAAACTCTCTTTTAACAGGAAGAAACCTCCGGCAGAACTCTGTGAAACAGGCTCCGATTTCAGATTTCCCAATAGACGTCCACACCGAACGCGATAGACGTGACCAGAGCGTCAGGTTACAGTTTATTGTCCGGAAGGAAGTTATTCTCTCTAATATGATGTGTTCTCAATGAAAATTAAGATAGTCATTTATGCATAGTGAGCTTTTTGATTTCCAATTAAAAATGTAGTATTTTATTTACAACTGTACTAGTTCTCACCACATGATCAAACTCCTCACCTTATCACTATGGAAGAAACTAGCCACCCTTTGGAGAAAAGTCATTTACACTGCTTGTATCTGTGATCCCATTCTTTCAGTCACTACACAGAGCTCATGACCTTAGGTGAGGGTGGAACCATAGATTGACCAGTAAATCCATGGCTTACACTAAAGCTGCATCAAAGCTCAAACCCCAGGAGAGTTAATGGCTTTCCACATTTATTCATTTGACACCTAAAGTTGATTTTTGATTTCCTGAACTTTCTGGGTTGAAGTTAATCCACAGTTTTCATCAGTGAAGGGTTTTAGGGCTTTTGTAGAGGACACTTGTCTCTCCCATCTTTCCCATGGTCCCTTAACGCAGCATCAGTGTTACAGCTTGTGACTCCGGTGAACAAATTGACACAGTGTGATATTACACATATTTAAATCTCTCTTTACTGATGATGTTGAAGCTGCCGAAGGCACAGTGAAGCTTTTACACTGAGGTTAACAACTGAAATTTGAAAACCAAGAATGCACAACACAAGAGGTTGCCTTCATCCTGCTAACAGGGATGGAGAGGAAGGTAAAGCATTGCACCTTAGTTTGTCCATACATTTGACAATTTGCCATGTATTTAGGACAAGTCCTTTATAATAAAGGTTACATTATAATAAAGTGCACTGTGTCATAAAACATAACATATAACATTTCTACTAAAATATGCCGCAAAAAGGCAAATGTGCATTTTTTTTAGTCATAATTACACTCAAACACCGTAGCAAAAGTCAATTTAGTACGTCCTATGTTCTATATATCCTTTTTATTGGATTTATTCTATATGCTGCCGTCATCATCATCATCATCATCAACTTTATTTATAAAGCACTTTAAAACAACCACAGCTGACACAAAGTGCTGTACATTGGAACTGTAAAATAAAATTACATGAGATATAAATAAAAAACAAATAAAAGAAGAGTGAAATCATTAATTAAATAACTACTGCATTAAAAAAAGAAACTAAGTCTCACTGAGGTTAAAAGCCAAGGAATAAAAGTGGGTTTTAAGACGTGATTTAAAAGTGGACAGTGAAGGGGCCTCTCTAACATGCATGGGCAAATTATTCCATAATTTTGGAGCCACAATAGAGAAGGCCCTGTCCCCTCTGAGCTTCCTCCTGGATCTCGGTACCTCCAGGAGCAGCTGGTCAGCTGACCTGAGAGACCGACAGGGTATGTGGGGATGAAGAAGCTCAGAGAGGTAAGGCGGGGCAAGACTGTGTAGGCATTTAAAAACAAACATAAGAATTTTAAAATTAACTCTAAAAGACACAGGCAGCCAGTGCAGAGAGGCCAGCACGGGGGTTATATGCTCTCTTTTTCGAGTTCCTGTTAGGAGTCGTGCAGCCGCATTTTGAACCAGCTGCAGACGTGAGAGCAATAACTGACTGACCCCCACATAAAGTGAGTTACAGTAGTCCAGGCGGGAAGAAATAAAAGCATGGATCACTGTTTCAAGGTGCTGCCTCGAAAGAAAAGATTTTAGTCTTGCCAGTCGCCTTAAATGATAAAAACTGGACTTCACCACTGCTCTGATTTGGTTGTCCAATTTAAAATCACTGTCCAACTTAAAACCAAGGTCAGTAACAACAGATTTAAAATAGACTTCCAGGGATCCTAAAACAACAGAGGAGGACTCACAGGGACCACTGGGTCCAAACACCAACACTTCTGTTTTCTTTTTATTAAAATTTAAAAAGTTTCGAGCCAACCAAGCTTTAATGTCATCTAGACATGTCAAGAGAGGTTTTATGGAGATGGCATCCTTGCGTTTTAGTGTCAAATAAATTTGGCAGTCATCGGCATAACAGTGAAATGAGATCCCATGCCTTCTAAGGATAGAACCCAGAGGCAGTAGATACAGAGAAAAGAGCAGTGGCCCTAAAATTGAGCCCTGTGGGACACCACATGACAGAGGAGCAGAAGACGATTCGTAACCGAGAAGGCTGACAGAGAAAGTTCTATCTGACAAATAAGACCTAAACCAATTGAGTGCAGTGCCACCAATACCCACTACATCATGTAATCGAGAAATTAAAATATTGTGGTCTACTGTGTCAAAGGCAGCAGTTAGGTCAAGCAAGACAAGAACAACATGGTTACCAGAATCACATGCCAGAAGGATGTCATTAAAAACCCTTAGTAATGCAGATTCTGTGCTGTGAAGGGTTTTAAAACCTGACTGAAAAACCTCAAAGATTCCATTTTCATCTAGAAAATCTTTCAGTTGACTAAAAACAATTTTCTCTAAAACCTTGGAGACTAAAGGCAGCTTGGAAATAGGCCTATGGTTCGCTAAAACTGTGTGATCAAGGCCAGGTTTCTTAAGCAGTGGCTGTACTACTGCATGTTTGAAATTTGCAGGAACCACACCAGAAGACAGACTGCTGTTAATAATGTCAAGGACATACTGTTGTATACTAGGAAAAATTTCTTTAAAGAATTGTGGAGGGACAGGATCCCGTGGGGAACCTGTGGGCTTAATATGGCGAACCACATCCTCTAAAGAGGAGAGCGTCACAAGCTCAAACTGAGTGAAAACAGCAGCGCAAGGGACAGAGACAGAGGGGTCAGAGTCAGGAGCTGTGATAAGAGCCCTGATGGTGACAACCTTTTCAATAAAAAAGTTCAGAAAATCATTGCAAATCTCAGGAGAAACTTCCAAACAGACATTCAAAGGAGTATTAAGAACAGTGTCAATGGTCCTAAATAACACACGTGGGTTATGACAGTTGGAAGAAATAATATTTGCAAAATATTCCCTTTTTGCCTCTTTAACAGTGTTCTGGTAGCGATGCCAGCAGTCTTTGAGAATTTGAAATGATACATGCAGTTTATCCTTTTTCCGCCGTGAAAAAAGGTTGCTGTCGAAAAGAGCTTTGAAGCACAAAAATACAGGACTTTTTTGTGTAAGGAGGGCAGCAACACACCTTTGATGGGTCTAGTCTGCTGTAAATGCAATAGAAGAAGGAAAGCGGAAGTGACGCGACTCTTACTATTTAGCAGCGTCTTCAGTGTCCGAGAGTTTAAGGAGAGACGAACTGCAGCCGAAGAAATCTCAGAAATTGAAAAGACATCAGTGAAGAGATCAGCAGACTGTTGGATATCCGAGATAACGTCACACAGGTGTGTAAAACGGCGTCAATGAGCTAACGCGGGAATACGACTCCTGTAGGACCCTGATCAGAGCTCAGTTTGCAGGCTCCGATCTCAAACCAGCAAGGAGCTACGAGCTGTTTATAATAGGAATAACACAAGTTTCTCTCGCTCTCTTTTTAATGAAAACCTTTCAGCCCGAAGTTCAGTGAGACACGGGAGGGGCGTGACTAGTAAAAAGGCGGCTTTACACGTTTAAATCAAAGATACGTACAGAGAAAGTGGGGCAGGTCCAGATAGTCCTGAAATACCTCCTATTATGTCTCCTTATTCTAGCTACTTTTCCTCGACCTTGAAGGAAAGCGTAACGAGGCCGATTAAAGGTGTGAATGAGAATTAATAAGCACTTTAAAAGAGAAGCACAGTTCAGAGAGCTGCAGTGACTCCAGACTGTGCAAGAGATGGACTACAAAACCCGCAGCTGGGTTCTTATAAACGAGGTTAACAAGGGGTTCAATATTCGCCATTTCAGCAATGTTTCTGTTATGTATTCAATAAATTATAATGCTGTATACGTATACATCTATACTTATATTTAATAGTCCTTTATTTATCCAGGTAAAAAATCTCATTTCAAAGAGAGTCCTGGCATCATGGCAGCAAAACTCAAAAAACATGTACCACATAAGCACATAACAATTAAATCAAATACAATATCCTGTACAAACATGTGAAAAATATAGAGTAACAGATCATTAAGAGCAACCAGTCTAGACCAGTTAATGGCACTTGCTGGTTTCCCCTAGACTCTATAAGCAGGGAATTTACCCAATGTGTTGTATAATATGTAATATGTTATGTGATTAGGTAGAGGATCTTAGGGGGTCTTTTTGTCCCTCTCGAGGGTTACTGCCACAGGGCTTAAATCTGGAACTCTCCACCATTTGACCCTAGAACTGATGAAGCTTCTCGGATGAGAGGTGAAACGTCTTCAAGCAACTTAAAGAAGTCCAGACACTTTTCTTTCCAAGCTCCTTAGACTATAATATGTAATATAAATTTATGCAATGTCATTTATGTAAATTTGTATAGATTATATTATATCTTATATACCTATTATGATATGCTATCTTATATTACAATGTGAATTTGAAGAGAAATTTATTTTGACAGTAGTCATAACAGCAATAAAAATAATATATTACTAAAAATGACACCACTGATGGTGAAAAAACAACCACATAACAGCAGTAACCTGTTGTGTATCTCTTATGTGTTTGTGGAGATGTGCATGGCTTCAGCCCCAGGTGTCTGACCAAGGTCAGAAACGGATTCCGGATGTCATTAAATTACAGTTTTTGTTACTCTGGGAGGAAGTTATTCTCTGTAATGTGATGTGTCATTACCCAGAGCTCATGAGCGACTAATGTGGAGATGGATGCGTAGGTGAGGGTGGGACCATAAACTGATGGCTTTGCTTTTACGCTCAGCTCTCTCATCACCACAACAGACATCAATGCACTGATGTCTGTTATCGGAGAGTGGGATTATGTCTGGAACCTATCTCAGCTGTCGTAGTGCAGGAAGCTTGGTACACCCTGGACAGGTCGCCAACCTGATGCAGGGCTAACACACAGAGACAGACAACCATTCTTACTCAGATTCTTGCCTATGGGCAACCAGTCACCAATTAACCTAACCCACTAACTGCATGCCTTTGAAATATGGGAGGAAGCTGGAGTACCCGGAGAGAACCCACATGTACCACATAAGCGATATGGGATATGTTGTCAAAAAGAGTGTGTAATTGGCACGGGTAGATGCCTCAAAGCTTTGAGTAGAGCACCAAAACTTTCTCTATTATGTTACTCTTGACAGAGTCCTCACCATAAGTGTTTACAGTGGACCTGCACATTTTGCTGTTCCTCAGTAATACTGGTATTTGATGAAACATGGCAGAACTTAATGAACTGTCTTTTCAGTTGTGCACACTGACTGAGCTAATAATGTGAAGATAAATCCAAATGAGAATATTGCAGCTGAAAGCTTTTCACTGCTGTTGCAGTACTCGTTAATACAAAAACCCTGTAAGATGTATCTCGCAAATATTTATAAAAAACAATCTTATCATTCCTCCACTTTATTTATCGTTTTCATATTTTGTCTCAAAACATTTGTCACATTTGTGTTTCCCTGTCATCTCATTAGTAACCTTTTTGTTGTGTCCGTTTGTCCCTCAAGACCTCCCACAACAACATGAAGTGTGAGGAAGAGGAGGGTCTGGATGACCAGCAGGTCTGTAACCAGGAGAGAAATTCCAGTCTGAACAAGCAGAGCCCAGAGCTCCCACAGATTAAAGAGGAACAGGAGGAAGTCTCCACCACTCAGGATGTAGACTCGCTTGTAGTGAAGCAGGAGGCTGAAGGAATCATCGTCTGGACTGGGGAAGAGCGGCTCAGACTACTGGATACAATCTGGAAATGTGAAAAACATGACAAAGGCATGTAATATTCTTAGTAAAAACAAATATGACTCGTGTAGGATTCCAAACGAGACACCAAATTACTTTTACTTTTAGAGGTAGAGGATGAATTTAAGAGCCAAATGCAAGTATCATTATACCTCTATTATTATACCTTTCCTAAGCTAACTCTATACTTTCTATCAGTCAGCTGATAAACTGACTTAAATTCTTAGACTGAAGAGGTGAGACTAGATTTTAATGCAGCATTTTGTCCAAACTGAATACAATTCTTTGCTTACTGAAGCTGAATCATTTTTAAATTCTTTATATTTACCCACAAATGTTGCTAAAAGTTTAGAAAGAAACAATCTTGAGAATGTAAATAATGGTACAACCCAAAAATAACATAAAATGGAACTTAATTTATTCCCAGTTAGATGTTTGTGCTCAGTAAACAGAGATGGGCAATAACACGTTACTATAATCCGATTACTTTTTCAAGTAATCAAGTAAGGGATTACTATTGCAAAAAAGGTAATTAGATTACTGTTACTTTACCGTAAGCACGCTGCGTTACTGCGTTACTATAACCGTGATTTATTTATTTATTTATTTTTTTGCAAGAGTGTCTCATGACAATGACGTAAGCGAGTGTGACGTTTGTGGCAACAGCTGTGTGCAGATCAACAATGGATAATATATCGAGTGCAGGAGAGAGTATGAGCATGCAGCGTTTGAAACGTGGAAGTACTGACCTTACTTACTAAAAAGTGACAAAAACATTAGCGTACGCTTTGCACTGCGTGGGAAGAAAACTTCTTTTTACAGCGAAAAAACCCATAAACTTCCAAGAAAGCACCCAGTACACTACCACGTAATGGAAATTCAGAGAAACTCGCGGATTCTTCCACTGACCGCTGCGGCACACCTGCACCACTTGCATTTATTTGAAAGACTCAGTACAAACACAAAAATATTATATTTTTATGTGCTGGAAGGTGCAGAAAATAGGTTTAAATGTTAAAACAATTTTTTTTCAGTCAGAGAATGTTGAATATAATTAAATTTTTGCTTGATGCATAAAGTTAAAAGATTAAAACTAATAAAACAAGTTTTAAAAAGAGACTTTTCCTTTTGATTACATTTTGTATGCTGGATTATGCAGAAAAAGTAGAATTGGGCTGAAAGATCTATCGCTTCATCACCTATTCAGGTTGTAAATCATGTTTTTAAAAAGTAACTAAGTAATTAATTACTTTTGAAAATAAGTAATCAGTAAAGTAACGGGATTACTTTTTGGGGAAGTAGTCAGTAATTAGTTACTGACTACTTTTTTCAAGTAACTTGACCAACACTGTCAGTAAACATAGTAAAAACATTGTTACTGCCTTGAAAACTCCAAGGATAGGAAATGTAATTCCAGCGAAATAGGACAAGATTCAAATATTTTAATAACAAACAATAAAATGTTATGTTGCGTAGATAAATATTTTTTGTTTAATTCATCTTTTAACTTTTGAATTTTTGTTCAAAATTCTTTTTTTTTTTTTTTGGAGTTAGTTTTATTCAAGTAAAACATCATTCAGTTTTGGTCATAATTTAGACATTTAAATTGTTTTAGTCTAGTTTAAGTTAACTAAATATCATAAAACTTCATAGACAAAATCTAAAGTTGATTTAATTGACTAAACAATAAAGTGGTTTGTTGGGTTTTTACTGAAGAGTGTTGCTCCACGTGGTTTGCAAAGCATCTTATTTTCATTGACATTATATCTGAAATGTCTCTGTGCATGTACTCTTCTCTGCTTCCTAAATGTTGAGATTTCGTCACATTTTGATTAGAAACTGGAGGTATGGGAGTTGGCTAAACCCACTCTCCGAACCTGTTTACCAGGTGCAGATTAAATGTGCACATCTAACGTCACTGCACAAGAAGATTACTTCTGATTGGATCACTTACAAACTTGTCCAGCCTTTCTAAACAAATGACATTGTTCTGATTGGATTGGAGAGCATTCACACTGTGTGCATAAATGCTTAACAGCTCTTTCATGTGGTGAACAAAATATGGGTTTGATCACTGCGTGCTGTAATGTGATCATATGCCTCCATCTTGACAGTGTAAAACTTTAGGTTCTGCAGCTCTTGGAATAAATATAACATTTTCACCAAGTGCTATTTTATATCTATTTAATCAAATACAAAAATGTATATTTCTAAATATAATCATAGTAGTCCTAACCAACTGGTATAGTAGTGGTGGACAAGCAGAGGACAATGGCCATAGTAATAAAGGTAGATAATACCAAGTGATAGCAACATCAGGATGAAGGAGAACGAGAAGCTTTGAGAAGCTGAAACATTGGTCTCAGTGGTAATGGAAGCACTCTGTGCAGTGACCTTCAAGCTAGGCGAGTGGCTCCCCGGAACAACATCCAAGATCTCTGTCCAGAACAATGCAGTCAAACATTGTTTGAACAGCGTATTTTGGCCATATCATAATTTTATGCATATTTTTAAACTTTGAGCTGTATAAACTTGAGTGCTTATTGGACTTAAGCATATCAGGTGATGTTTATTTGCGTAATGAGTGAAGGCGTGGTCTAAGGATGTCACCACTTTATAGAAATGTGTGCATAATTTTTAGGCAGCTTCTCTTCCTCAGGCAAAATGGGCCAAAAGAGAAATTTAAAAGACTCTTAAAACTCAAAAAATGTGTCCGGTCTTTCAGAGGGATGCAGCACTTTTGAAATTGCTCAAATATTGGGGCGTGACCACAGGACCATCAAACATTTTGTTGCAAAGATTTTTTTTTTTTTTTTTTAGAAGGCACTTTCTTCAAGCAGTGGTACGGGAAAAATCTGCATCTTTCAAGAAGACCATGAATTTTATGCAGGACAATCGCATGCATCGAAGTATTCCACTGAATGGCTAGCCTTAAGGATGAAAAAATAATGACATGGCCCCCTTCCTCACCGGACCTAAAGCCTATTGAGAGCCTGTGGGCCCTGCTTAAATGGGAGATTTACAGGATGGGAAAACAATACACCTCTCTGAACAGTGTCTGGGATGCTGTGGTTGCTGCTGCACAAGCGGTTGGTCATCAACAGATTAAGACGCTGACAGACTCCATGAATTGAAGGGTTATGACAGTTATTGAAAAGAAGGGTGGTTATATTGGTCACTGATTTTTATTTATTTATTTATTAATTTTTTGACACGGCAGAAATGTTTATATGTAAATTTTGAGTTGTTTTATTATTTTCATATGTTTAAAGTGAAAATAATCTTTTATCAGATGCGTTTTTTCTATTATGTTTGTCCCTTCAGACTTCCTGCAACAACATGTCTGTAAGCAAGAGGAGGATCTGGATGACCAGCAAGTTTTTAACCAGGGGGGCAACTTGAGTCTTGACCAGGAGGACCCAGAGCTTCCACAGATTAAAGAGGAACCAGAGGAACTCTGCACTAGTCAGGTGCTTGTGCTGAAGGTCGAGACTGATACCTTTATGGTGACTTCTACTTATGAGGAACCTGAACCAAACAGTGACCAGCTTCTTTCTTACAACTCTCCTGAACCAGAAAGTCGAGATGAGGATGAAAGTGAGCATGTAGACTCAGGATCAAAAAGAAATGCAAAGCCTGAGAAGAGAGGACATCACAGAAACAGTAACACAGCAGACGGCTGTCCTGTGTCAGAGAGTCAGTGTGGAACTGACACAAGTAAAAAGTCTTTAAAATGTGACACTTGTGGAAAAACCTTTGAATATAAATACAAACTGACAAAACACCAGAGAGTCCACACAGGTGAGAAGCCACATTCTTGTAGCACTTGTGGAAAAATTTTTAGTTACATGTCTGCGTTAAAAACTCACATGAGAAGTCACACAGGTGAGAAGCCATATTCTTGTAGCATATGTGGAAAAATATTTAGTTACCTGTCTGCATTAAAAACTCACATGAGAAGTCACACAGGTGAGAAACCACATTGTTGTAGCACATGCGGGAAAAGGTTCAGTGATCTGATGAACTTGAAATCTCATATAAGAGTCCATACTGGTGAGAAGCCATATTCCTGTAGCACCTGTGGAAAAAGATACAGTGATAGGACGAACTTGAAAACTCACATGAGAATTCACACAGGTGAGAAGCCATATTCCTGTAACCTCTGTGGTAAAAGATACAGTGATAGGACAAACTTGAAAACTCACATGAGAACGCACACAGGTGAAAAGCCATATTTCTGTAGCACCTGTGCGAAAAGATTCACTTATAGGATACAGTTGAGAAGACACATGAAAATCCATGTTTGTTAAAAGCTTCCTTCTTAGATAATGTTTGAAAGCTGTTAGGTGGAACAGTTTAATAGTGGAGCACATGTTCATGAGGAACCAAATCACTTCAAAGCCTGAAGGAAGCGCTCATACCATTTTCAGGTCAATATGGTATATATCCTGTCTAGAATAGTAATTAACTCTACTCTCTGAATTGTTTATTCCAATTGTTAGCCTTTTTTTTGTATAAGGAAAACACTGATTTTACAGCCATCCATCCCTTTTATGGCACTTTTCCAGGGCCAAATGTTAGGGCAGTCTAGGCAGAGAATTATAGACATCACTCATCCCGACAACCTGCTTCAGCTCATTTGGGGGACACCAAGGCATTAGGTTCTAGGTTAGCGATAATATATAATTTCTGTAGTGTGGCCCGGGTCTGCCCTTGGGCCCCTTTGTGTTGGAACACCTCACCTAGGAAAAGCTCAGGAGGCATCCTATTCAGATGTCTGAGCCACCTCAATTGGCTGCATGCCACATTATTTTTATTATTTAAGTCGTGTACATAGAACAAGATACAAAGCCTTAAAACGTGTTAAAAACACAACAGCCTTGATAAACATGGAGCAGTTAGGATCTAAAAGCAGGGTTCATCACGTCATCACTTAAAGACCAGATGACAACAAGCCAGATACCCCATGCTCCTATGAGGATAAAGAGCTGGACCTGAACCTGTGGTTCGATTAACACAGTCATTTCTCTTGTACCCTGGCATAGATCTTTCCAGGAGTCAGAATAATGTGTTGCCTCTGTAATTGGAGCACATCTTCCAGTCCCCCTTCTTAGGCTACCACTCCAGTCAGAGTTGTAGCCTTAGATTGAAAAAGCAGAGAGGTGTGTCAGCCAAGAAAGTGCCACAACATTCAGAGTGTTGAGAAACTCATGGTGAATCTCATCCACCCCAGCAGCCCTGCCACCAAGGAGTTGTTTAACTACCTCAATGACCTCAGCCCCAGTTACGGGCAAGTCATCCCCCTAGTTTCCAGACTCTACTTCATGTACAGAAAGCATGTCAGTGGGATTCAGAAAATCCTTCAGGTTGTCTATTTCTTGTTTCCTCAGTTCAAGTCAGCAGCACCCCACCCATACTATACACCATATGAGTACAGCACCACTTTGCCCTCCTGAGTCACTTGGTAGTTTGCCAGAATCTCTTTGAGGGAGATCAAAAGTCTTGTTTCATGGATTAACCAGACTCCTGCACCAGAGATTTTGTTTCAGCTTCTTCCAGAGCCACACTCTGCTTGGCCCAGTGGAATCTGTTTCCTTTGGAATCCCACAGGATAACCACAGGAGCTCTTTCAGTTTGACAACTCCCTTCACCTTGGTTATTCACCATCTGTACAGGGATTACCCCATAACAGGCAACTCCCAGCCATAGCTCTGTGCAGGTGCCTCAACAGTGAAGGTGCAGAACATGGTCCACTCAGACTCAATGTGCCCAGGCTTCCTCAGAAAACTGCTACTTGATCCATCTCACCACCAGGTGGTGATCAGTTGGCAGCTCTGTTCCTCTATTCACTCATGTGTCCAAGACCACCAATAAAACATTGACAAAATCTATCCTTGACCTTTGACCTGGGGTGTCCTAGTACCACATGCACTTATGCGAATAACTTATGCTCAGACATGGTGGTTGGCACAAAAGTCCAGTGACAAAACATCACAAAAAATCACACCCCTCTAATGTTCATGTCTACATGATATTGCACACTAAAGTCTAAAAATAGGAAAATAAATTGTCCAGATGTGTCACTTTCCAGCACCCCACCTACTGACTTTAATAAAGCTGGATATTCTGAACTGTCATTCACCTATAATCAGGACCAGGACCTGTTCCCTGACCCAAAGGTGCAGGGGAAAAGACACACTCGTCCACTGGGAAAACCCTATTGTACAGACAGTGAACTTGGTGGGATATTAGTATACCCATCCCTGCCTGTTGCCTTTCTGTGTATGGGGAATCTAGAGTTTGGAAGAGTCTGGAACGTCTCCAGCGCCTGAGCCATGCATTCAGGTGAACCTTACTATGTCTATATCCAGTCCCTCTCAATCTCATGCACTAGCTCAGATTTATGTCCTACCAGAGAGGTGACATTCTATTTGTCAACTTCAGTTTTCCTACCATGAGCCAGGGTTACAACTCCTGGAGCCTCTGCCCTTCACTGCGACCCAAAATGCATTGCACCCGCCCTCTACAGTGCTTTCTGCAGGTGCGGAGTCTGCAAGAGCCCCATGGGTTAAGGCGTGCCCACCAGGTGTTCTCTCTTAAGCCTCCTCCCTAGGCCTGGCATAGGGATAGGCACCAGTATCCATGTCCTGGGCAGGGTGAACTGGTCCCTTGTTTTTCCTTGCTTCAAAGGGGTCACCTAAATCGCTCATCGCTGGCCCCTCACACAGGGACAATTTGCCTGGGAGACCCTACCAGGGTCAAGCCTCTGACATCATAGCCACTGTGATCACTGGGACAAACAAGCCCGGCTAATTTTACATTTGTCTGTATTTGTACTTTTGTTATTCTTTTAAGTTGTAGAGGTGATACTAAAAACATATAAAACAGCTTAAAACAAGCTGTAGATTCAAGTTCTTAATCGTTTTTACTAAACTAAGCTTTGTTGTACAAAATAAAGCATGAATTTTATTTGGCTTGTTGCTTTTGTTTAATAGCCTAGATTTCTCTGTCATTCAATAAAGAGGTTTTACTACACAGGAGTAGAAGCTGTAAATTGACACACACAAGACAAATAATATTGAGTCATTATCAATTCATATGTTGTGATGTAGGCTTAAATTTCAATATGCACTTAAAAGTTATGTTTATAAAGTTTACATAAAACCTTAAATAAATCTTTTTGAGACCAACTCTTTTTCTGAACTGTGATCTCTAAGACAGGTGTGTCCAAACGTTTTGCAAAGAAGGTCAGATTTGGTGAGGTGAAAATGTGTGGGGGCCCACCATTCAGCCTGACATTCTTTGAACCATTAGTATTAAATGCAAATTACGTATTGAAATGTTTTTTTAATTTGAAAATGGCATAGTTATCATGTCTTCACATAAACACAAATAAATTCAAACAAGTTTTTATCCACATACAATAAAGAAAAAGTCTATCTGGGGAAAAAAAAACTTCAGGAAGATTAAACGTATCTGAGTTTGTTTTTAATATTAAATATTATTCACTATTAAATGCTCCCTGTAAACTGCTGGATTCAAAACGTGAGCACAGGCATATTGTAACAGTGACTGAATCAGTGGATCACTCGCTCTTCTTTTTTTTAAACTGACAATCAAAGAACAAATATATATTATTTGATTTTGAATTGCCTATCAAAAGGAAATAGTACTTGTTTTGATTATTTCAATTTTAGATTTGGATCAAAAATATGAAATGTAAAAAAGGGCTGCTGGAACAAATTTAATTTTAAAATTCAATTTGTCTGCTTTACGAGACCTGGTTTCATTGTCCATTGGAAAATTAAAGAATTAATGATACACTGATTGAAAAGAGTCTGTGCATATTCAAAATTGGGGTTTTGATCATCAGAAAAAAGAATAGAAGTATGAAATAAATTCGCTGATATTTTAGAATTTATTCACCTCAGAAGACCAAACCAATAGCCTGCATTAATTTGAAGGGTGATACAGAGATCTCAATTACATTGAAAAAGCCAGGTCTTACTCAAAGACAGTGGTTTTATGTTACAGAGGTGACAGTCGGTTAGTCTTTATCTCTATTTTAAGAATAATTTCTCACACAGTACTCTGTAGTAGTAGTAGTAATAATAATAATAATAATTTATTATTGCACTTTATTTGTGGGCACCTTTACTCAAGGTCCTTACAAAGCATAGAAGACAAACTCATTCTCAGGATCATGTTATCTTCGGACTCTACTGCAGAAGAGTATCAAATAAGTTTTCGCAAAATCCGCAGACAGTTACTGCTTGGTTTCTTTAGGAGTATGAAACTGTGATTTACTGTTTACTTCTGTCAGATCAGTAACACCATCTGAGCCGGTTCTAGACAGGCGAGGGGGCAGAGAGAAATGTGAATATTAACAAAACTTTAAAAAGTAGGCCAAGTTACAAAGAAAAAGGCAATAAATCAAGTCTTGAAAAATAAAACTGAAAAATAGAAATACAGAATAAAAAAAAATCTCCATCCAGATCTTTACAACCAACAACATAAAATCTATCTTAATTAAATGGCCTAATTCTCAAATAAATTTGCAAAATAAAGTATGAATAAAATAAGACATTCATTTCATGGAAACTCAAATTAACAGAGTCACATTAAACGCCTGCCGTAGCGTTCTTCACAGCTGCACTTCACCTTAAAGGTAGGTTGATAAATTGCATTTAGCTTAACCACAATACTTTCACATGTGTTCTTTATATACCTGAGTCCAGCTTCAAGGCGGTGGCAAGAGTCAAAACCTGCGGTCCACCCACTTTAGGCACAGTCCGTGTTGAGCGTTACTTCCGCTACACCAAGTTTAAAACAAAGTCTCGCAACTAAAGGAAAAATTAAAAAAATATTTAAAACAAATACAAAATTAAAACATTAAAATAATTCACTGTCAGTTACATTGTGACGATAGAGATTGGCTGCATAATTTTGCTCTGCTCTGATTTGCATACTAACAGTGCTGGGGTGAGTGGGGCAGCCTGCGCACAGAGCACGGAGGGAAACAACTAACAAGACATGAAACCCATTATCTCATCATTATCTTTATGAGACCCGCGATGTAAAATGAGACAGTGCTTAACTTGAATCATTGGGAGGGCGCTAGTACAAGTTTCCGACTAGCCTGCCGGAAACACAATGAAGAAGAAGAAGAAGAAAAACGGAAGTGACGCGGTGTTATCGCTGTTCGGCGCAGTAGAATTTACGGAGAGACTTGGTGCAGCAGGCGATGAAATCTAAAACCTTACTAAAGCTCGATGAAGAAATCATCCGTGAATGCAGACTATTGGATATCTGAGATAACAGGTATGTAAAACTGTCATGTTAAAAGATCCTCTACGAAACGTGTATCCTACGTCTTTCCCTGCAGGACTTATGAACGACAACCACTGGTAAAAAAGAACGCTTGAGCACAAAGGCGGGAGTTTTAAAGAAAAGCGAAGATATGTTTTTAGATTTACTCACCGTCTACCATGGCGTTATTTTTGTGCCACTCGTCTGAGCGCACGTAAAAAGAATTTGCCAGCACGAGTGTTGCTTTTTGAGGATAAACTTTTTTTGAGCGAAGAAAGGCTAACTTTTAGCGAACAAAATTCACTGCTGCGTGCAAAAACTTATTTCAGTGTTTGCTTTTATCCATTTACATAGCCCCTCGCTCAGTATTTGCTTTTGCTCAGATCTCTGCGGACCTGCAGATCTGTAAGGCCAAGGGACTGTGCGCACCGCTCTCCCCCAATAACAGGAAGTAGTGTGGAGACAAAGCACGCAACGGAATTGAAAACGTAGAAAAAGAGAAAAAAACATTTGTTTTTACCCAGTTACATAATTTACATTTCGCCATTTGTGTGTGTGAAGGGGTTGTATTGTGATGTGGATATGTGGGGTAAACGACTATCTTTGAGCAGAAATGTCTAAACCGGTGAGGTGATTTCAGTAGGCACATGATGGGCTGAGCCAGGGTCTCCCAATGCTTTCACACAAAATCTCTTATGATAATGACCCATAGCCTTTTTTTTTCACACCATGGCTTGTCAATGATCATTGACTCACTTAAGTAGTCCCTAAAGTGGGTCAACGATCCTCTTAATGGACAGCTCCCACTAGGTTTTAAATACCTGGGACTAAGGCTGGGCCATATCATACCATTCACGGCAATACTGGTATAATGTTGGGCAACGTTAAGAAGCTGCAACTGAATTCTGGTTGTGTTTACTGACCTCGAAATGATTTTATGTGGTACACGGCGCTCGAAAATGTGTCAAATGTTTTAGTACAACTTTGCTAAGCTATGAACCCGCACCGCTTGATGGATTGTCGAAGCATTACGGCATCGTAAGCAGGAGCCTTGTGGAGTGATACGTGCTGTGCTTCACAATGGGCGATGTATTGAGTTTTAAAATATATCGATATATTTTTATATGAGATGTGACAATATCGTTTATATCAATGTAGTCTATGTTACTTGAGCCGCAAATTTGGCTCTCTTAGGGCTGGGCGATATGGCCTAAAATCCATATTGCGGTACTCCATCCCCTTCAGGTCCCAAAGTCAAAGGAACACTGAGAGTTAAAAACAGTCTAAATTCTTTCATCTTTAATAAAATGATCAGCGTTGCTGCTTTACCGGGTGTAACAATTAAGTTACACCATGAAAACAGAAGTTATTAAATTTAACGGAGTTACAAGTTAACTGGAAGTTAGCTCGCTAGTTTCCACCTAAACATGACATGACATATTCTGACTGAGAGATTTTTGAAACTAATTAAAACGTACAGCTCTGCTACCACTTCCAACATAAATGAAGACAGAAAACTAAGCATTATTATTTAATAAATGCTGATAATTTATTTCTGAGTATTTATTTCTTGTACATCTGTGCTGTATGTTAATAAAAGTGCCTGTGTGAGATTTGGGACGCAGTTTTGACTAAGAACTCTCTTTTTGTTCTTACTTTATGGCTTTAAAAAATATCGAGATATATATATATCGTATATCGCCATCCAGCTAAAGAATATCGAGATATGAATTTTGGGTCATATCGCCCAGTCTTACTTGAACATAATATTACCGTATTGTGTCTGTATAACCTCTTTTTGCGTTTTGTGGATATTATACATGGTTATGCTGAGGATATGTCGGCTAATTTCCACTGGAAATGCCTTTTGGTGAAACTGTCAGCAAGGAATTTGCATTTGCACTGTTAAATTTTTATATAACTTTAACGCACATAAAAACAGCTGCTTGTTTAAGTGAAAATACATTGATGGTTTTTTTTTTTTTTTTTTTTTTTGCACTAATAAAGTTGTGAGCAACATGCTCACAGTGTACAGACTTGCTAGAATATATTTGCTCAGATGTGCCTTCACATCTGTCATCATATTAGTAACCTTCTTGTTATGTCCCCTTATCATTTAAGATCCCTTACAGCAATACGAAGTGTGAGGAAGAGGAGAGTCTGAATGACCCGCAGGTCCATAACCAGGAGAGGAACTTTGGTCTGAGCGAGGATGGTCCAGAACCACAGATTAAAGAGGAACAGGAGGAAGTCTGCACCGGTCAGGAAATAGCGAAGGTTATAGTGAAGCAGGAGTCTGAAGAAATCTTCGTCTGGACCGGGAAAGAGCGGTTCAGAGTCCTGGATAACATTTGGAAACGTGAGGAAGACTTGCACTGCACAGGTATATAAAACTTAAAACAGTCTTAATAGGGAAAATATGATTGATGTAGGATCATGTAGTGGATATATAGTGCATTTACCTCTTGGTTGAGCCCAGGCTCATAGTCAGGCTCACCTTAACCCGAGAACGCTTTTTCACTGTTTACAACAGTGTGTGAAATATACTGACTACACTTATACGGTTTTAACAAAATAATGAGCCAGCAGGCACGGCCCCTTCTGCTTATTGTGTTATGACAAAAATTTACATCATCGGGACCCAAGCAGACCTTAGAAAGCATTAGAAATATACAGCCCACACTCACCACAGACTTTTTGCACTCTCCCACAGGTCCGGACACACACGATATTATCAAACTAGAAGAAAATGGACCCCTCAAACACGAAGATTCTGACTCTGTAACAGTGCCGGACGAAGATGGGTTTTCTGTCCACTCCTCTGGGCTGGACTCTGCTGATAGTGATGATGAAACTGACTTGAGTGAAGAAATGTATCCGTACTATGACACGTACGTGTACATTTATGAAATATTGTTTGTTTCTGAGTTAGAGAAAATAACTATGCAGCATTAAATATACATCATTATATTATTCTCATGGTGAATTCTTCTAACATTGTGCAACTTCTTTGTGTGAAGTGATGATGATTATGAGGAGGAGGAAGAAGAAGAAGAAGAAGAAACCGAAGCCGCCACTACTCTGGATGGAGGCAGAAGAAGATTAAGGAGTCAGAGGAGTTGGCCTTCAGCAAACAAAGCCAAGCGCTCTAGGTCAGAGCCACTCTCTGGTGATGCAGCTGCCTGGAAAAGTGAAAAGGACCCCGACAACTTGCCACACCCCCTGCCACATTTCCTGCCCACGAGAACGCCAGGTATCCAACTACCTCTTTCAGAGTATCTGACCAATCCATCTCCATCTAAGCTCTTCAAGATGTATTTTAACTGGGCCGCTGTCAAAACACTGTGTGCAAACACAAACAAAAATGCAGAAAAAAATATTGCTGCAGGTAAAAAGTTCAAATGGGCTGAGCTCACAGAGGCTGAACTCTATCGCTACATTGGCCTGACACTGTACATGTGGATTCTGAAGCTGCCAAATATCAGGAATTTTTGGCGTGTCAGTTCCATCTTTTATGCGCCGTATCCTAGCAAGGTAATGTCGAGAACCCGGTTCCTCCTCATCACCTGGAACATTCATATGAGTGACCCTGCTGAAGATGAACTCAACGACCGCAAAAAAGGCACCGATGATTATGACTGCCTGCACAGAATACGCCCCCTGTATGACAGTTTGCGGTTAGCTTGCAAAGCGGTGTACCATCCCCAGAAAAACCTCTCTGTGGATGAGCGCATGGTACCGACCAAAGCCAAAACTGCCCTAAAGAAAAACATAAAGCAAAAAAAGAGGTGGATAAAATTTTTTGTGTTGTCTGACAACACGGGGTACATTTTTGACTTCAAGGTTTATACAAGGAAGTCCACTCTGGCAACCGGGAGGGGCCTGTCATTTGATGCAGTGGTGTCTCTCGTCAACAAAAACTGCCTGGGATCTGGATATCACATTTACTGTGATAAGTTTTATACCAGCCCAGCACTGTTCCGCCACCTTCACGACCTGGGGTTCGGAGCATGCGGCACATTTCGGGACACGAGAATCGGCACCCCAAAAACCAAAGATAATTCCTTGACCAAAGAATCTCCAAGAGGGACAGTCAGGTGGATCAGAGAGGGAGCCCTCATTTTCATCAAGTGGATGGACACAAGGGAGGTGAGTGTGTGCTCCACCATGCACACTGCCTTCTCAGGGGACACTCTGAAAAGGATGTGTAAGGTTGGTGGAAAACGCAGAGTAGTCGAGGTGCCGGTGCCATCGGCTGTGAAAGACTACAACAGCTTTATGGTGGGAGCTGACCTGTCAGACCAGCTGATTGGCTACTATTCCTCATGGAGAAAGAGCAGGGCGTGGTATGTGAGGGTGCTATATCATTTCATTGACATTGCTGTAACAAACAGCTACTTAATCAGCAAGGAGCTGTGTGGCAGACTGGAGGAGCAGCCTGTGAAGCACCAGGCCTTCCTGGAACAGCTGATAACTGAGCTCTGTGAGGTTCCCCTACAATTGGTCCCAGAGAGGTATCAGCACATCCCTGTTGCCATTGTTGAAGGGGCATCTGGCCATAATAAAGCCTCAAAGGGGCGAAGGAAGTGCAAACTGTGTCGGAAGTGCACTCCGTTCATGTGTGAGGCATGTAGAGTGGCTCTGTGTGTTATCGTTGACAGGAACTGTCACAAGCTGTATCACAACTCCTTAAAGGGTACTGAAAATTAAAATTTGACTTCATGCTTCTCTGTATACAAGTTTCCCTGACACTTAAAACTTTGATTACTGTTGAAAATTGTTTATTTTGATATATTGTAACTTT